CAGTGAGGAAAGGGTTCTGAGAGCCTTGGAAGTGATATTCGTGATCACCGCGAAATTCTCTATCGAATGGTGTATGAAGCGTCGAAAAATAAATTTCACTGCAAGGCTGCCCTGGGTGCATCTTAAGTCAATGGTGGCCTTAATTTTTTCACCTAATGGACGGATGCATTTCCTATTTATTATATGGCTTAAAAAATCAATTTCATGTACAGCTAATGGAACATTTGTCAGCATTGACTTGAATGAGCTTAGATCAATATAGACAAAACTTCATTCAAATGTTTTTTATGTTCTTCAAATGTTTTAAAAAAGATGAGAATATCATCCACCATAATATACCATAACATAATCCCACCGTCCATTGCCAATTAAATTTTGCATCACACGTTGGAAGATTGGTGGACCGTTTATAATCCCATGTGATAAAACATTGAATTCCCATAGTCCATCGTGTGTACTAAAAGCTGTTTTTTCTTTATCGCCTTCTTATATTTTTATTTGGAAGTAACTGGATTTTAAATCCAATTTTGCATAATATTTGTGTCCTCATAATCGGTGTAACAATTCTTCCGTTATCGGTGGAGGAAAAGAATCCTTTTTTGTGACCGAATTTAATTTACGATAATCAACGAGAAATAGGATTCCACCATCTTTTTTCTTGTGAATACAGGAGACGATCACGAGATAGCCGTATTTGGTTATTCTTTAGCATTTTCTGAATTTCTCCTTGCATTTCTCTTCGTTGTTGAATTGTTTTCGGATATGGCCTGGAACTGACTGGAAGGCTATCACTCGTAGTAATTGTATGTCGTATTATTGTGGAGGCTTATGTGATCCTAGACGTATCAAAGATTGTTTTATGTTTTTGAAGTATTGTACAAATATCATTTTTAGCGTGCTTGTTCGTAATGTGTTTAATTAGGTTTTCAATAATATCAAATGTGGATGTCTAAGTAGGCACTTGTGGTGATTTTAAGTAAGCGTCGGTATGAGGTGGGATTGATCCGTAAGGAGATGTTTCAACTGCACTAAGTGACGCTGTATTTGACGGTGTGTGTGTTATATGTCCGAGTAGAGTATTCATATAAAGTGTTTGTGTGTATTCACTTTGATTATAAATTTTTACGAAAATATGTCGTATACGTAATAGTGCTGTTGACACTACAATTGATTTATCAGTTTGAAGATCGACGTCAGGATGAAAATAGCCGGTATCAGCTGCCGATATTTCGACTTTTGCTGGAACAGTATAAGCTTCACGTGGTGGTATTTTGACGGTATTAATTAATTTTACATCTAAAGCTAAGCTATCTATTTATTGATCATATGTAACATATGTAACATATGTTCGTCCATCAGTTGTACGTATAGATATTTGATTTGTACCATACTCGATTCTTGCACCATATTGTTTACACCAATCACTGCCTAATATAAAATATGACATTAATGCAAGGGA